CATAACTACATGTACTTGCCATGTCTCCAGCCTTGCGCAAGGTCAGCATGTTTGCAGTGTCATTTCACTACATGTAAAATCTTCCTGTTGTTTTTCTAGTAAAGCAGCCTGATGGCTGCAGCATGTTGCATTCACCATGGAAGTGAAATATGTGTTTGCATCTTTCTCACCTACATTTTCTGGATTCCCGTAGCAGGCTGAGCAAGTGATGCCACTTATTGGTTGTCTGCTTTGCTGAAAGTGATTCGTATATTGTATCATGTGTTTTTGGTCAGTCATATGTCAGATGGGAGGTAAATACAAGAGCGCATGCTTAACTCATCTTTTCATGCTGGAATTTATTATGAAAGCGGCATGGATTGCAGTCGAAAAAACATATTGTTGTTCATTATGTCATGCCACAGTACAGCACCGAGATACCGCCACAATAAAGCTATTGACCAGTGACATTACACAATGTACCACATTGGTTGAGTACTCTATGTCAAGCCTGTGAGATAGCAGCTTATAATTTATGAATGACTGGTAAAAATTTATTTAACAATGCCAAAGGATTATCTACGGCAAGAATACCGTTGCACCACAGTGGTTTTATCAGGGTTAACTTATTCACTGCATGAATAATCCTAAGCAAAAAAAAAATCCCGGTAGCCCAACGTTACCATCTTTACCAAAGCAATAGCAATGCTGTGACAATCAATGCATGGCGACATTACAAAGTTATTAGTTGACGCATGACACGACATTTCCAGTTACAAACAACAACGACAATGTTGCAAATTTATTAATTTTGGCACGACACCCCATTTCCAGTTACAAATAATGACAGTGACTGCTGCACACATCACAGAATATCAATGTCAGGACTACAGCACTGCGCGCAACGATGGGTCGACAATGAAATATTGACAAAATCATCAACAGCACAGCAGCAACAGCAGCAGCACAGCATATCGTGCTTTGATAATTATCTGTCATAAAAGCTAGCGATCGCTACGTTGCGCATGTAAAACAGTCCACGGAAGCTTTTCTTACGGTCAGCACCAAGACAAAAAATCCACAAATAACCCACCCACTAATTCGCCCCCCGACACAGCCCCCGCGACGAGAAGTGGCCGGTTGGCTTCAGCTTTCGTGCGTTTCGAGCTGTTCGTAAGGTCTGGTTGCCAGATGCTGCCAGGTTTTGCTGTCGTCACAAACCCATTTCCTGCCGCCATCAAACGACGACCTAATGGGGCCCATTTTTAGAAACTTTGAAACTTTGCTACCAAGCGTCGTTTTTGAACCTTGAATGCTTACCAATAGTTACAAGGAGGCATTTCCCATCATATCTGATGCCTAGCTCAATGTCTTCAAATGTGGAACATTCCCATTAAACGTCATTTTGTCCTGACGGTCACTAAGATCGTCGCATTTCCTTCGTACATTCTGCGTGTCAGTCCCGTGTTATGTGAGCTGCGAATATGCTTCTCGGCGGCCGTTCTGCAGATGCATGGTGATTCTTATTGAGCACGTCACCAACGTGGCAGCAGTCAGTACGGTGCGCACAATCACAGGACATGCAGTTGGACTTGTGCACTACGCTGGTAAAGGTCAGCTTGAAAGGATCTTGTGCATCTTATTTATTGTGAGCAAACTGGACACTTTTGGGCTTTGTAGGAGACGACCAGTTGGATGTTGTCTTCAGGGTGGCGTTCTGTGCCATTTGTGGTGATGCAGTCCGCAGTACCTTCTTGTTCTTGAATCGGGGCGTCCACATGGTTTTCTGGTAGACCAGTCTGTGGGTGCTGCCAGAAGGTGTCTTGTCAGCTGTTGGTTGGCAGCTTTGTTCCATCTTCCTCCGAATGTGGATGACGATTGCAGCAACACTGTGCTTGCTGTTGGTAAGTATTTTTTTTAATCTGGAGGTCCAGGAGCAACGGGTTCCAGGACGAGTAGTTTTAAAACGCACGATATACCTCCGCAGGCCCATATAACGCTCCTTGAAGCGCTCTGAGAACCACCGCCGTCCGCTCAGGCAGTGTCCGTGTTGGTCGACTTCCAGTGTGCTTGAGTCCGGAAGTTCCTAGTGGAGGCATCCACGTCAACATCTAGATGTGGTGCTTTGCTGTTGACGCTCGCCTCCCCAGTAAACTTTTGCACGGCGGCCTCATTAACTTGGCTCTTTTGAAGCCGCTCATAAACAGCTAATTAGGTGCGTATATACCATGAATTCCAAGAAATGCACACAAACACACACGGATATATATATATATATATATATATATATATATATATATATATATACATAACCAACCTCAGATATACGAACTGCACGAATTCAGGCCAAACAGGGAACTAACCCGTGTTATGGGCCATGTGTGAAATCTCGGCATCCCAGACAACATCTTGAAACCAGCTGTGCGGTGTAGACGAATACATCATCCACAAATGACCTAGTGAGTGCAGGGCCGTGCGACGCTCAGGGGCGCGAAGGGCGACCGAAAGGCGGCCATGTCGTCTTTCTATCATTCTGTTTTATTTGCAACATGCTGAAGCCTACGCCAAGCGATTTAAATTCTGCGCACAGCATGCCGAAGCCCACACAGGGCTTCGGCAAAGCCATGAAATCATCGGCTTGTACCGCAATTTTTATGCAGCCTGCAAAGTATCGTTTTTATGGGCGTATAATGTTGTCGGAGCGTAAACTGTTCCGTACTACTGGAGCCCCTGTCAAATGCACATCTCCTAAAATATGAATTCAACCAGTCATGTCAGCGCCTGAGACAACTGGATTTCATAGCATAGGAGGGGACCTCTCCGTCATCACGCCGGACCCGTACTGCCATTGCCTCTCAATGACCGGAAACACGATGCATTGAGAGCCTTTCGACATATGACTGTGTTGTTTTCTGTTCGTGAGCACAGGACGTACAGATTAGGAAAGACCTTAACTGATGGCACATGACAAAGCACTGCCTAAGTCCTCCCACCCACGTGGCATCGCATTATGTACCAATCGATCGGACTTGGTCTTCATAATACGTAAGGCATTCCTGTTTACCTTGGGAGCGTTATTCATTGTATGGCTGTATATCCTGCCTGTTCAGTCACATGAAATCCCATTTGTCCTGCCTGTGCATGTATATGCATGCCTTTATACCTGTCCGTGCCGTATATGCATGCCTATATATGCTGAACATGTACAGATATTATACTTATCAGCCATCATAGTATGTCCCCTACAGTATTTGCTGTCGCAGACGAGTCAAATACAGCAGGAGTGCTTCCCTCTGTCGCAGAAAACCGAACGCCATATCACGCATCTACCGACATCATACCGCAGCAGGCAGGGAATAATGGAGCCGCGCTAGTCCCGGCCTTGTATGTGAACATCCTCATATTCTAACTTCCGCCGTCCGCATGCATGCACTGACAGTACACTCCAACGCACCACCGCACTCATGCCCTCCTGTGAGCATATTCACCACGGAGAGCGTGCTGCCCATGGCTCAGCATTCGTCGGGAAACAATGACGGGCGGTTTAGTCCCCGGCAAATGTTTTTTTTTTTAATCTGACGCGGGAGGGGGGACGGTCAACAGGGCATCATTGGATGAGTTATACTGAGAGACTGTAGGGTCATCAATGACCCATGAACTACGGATACCTGCCTGCAGGCGCGCCGGCGATGTGCGTATTAACGGTCATTCATCCGCAATCATACCAACTACAATTATACTAAAACCAGCTGCATTCATCCTCAATCCTATCAATTACAAATATACCAAAACCCACTGGTCCGCTATCGCGTCGCATGAACGCGGCACTCTTGTTGCGTAACGATTTTTCTCTGGGCGCTAGATGGTTTCCATATACCATGCCGTTATCTGAAGACAAGGCCTGTCCATGCCTCTAGGCTCTACCCGATCCATATTTACGTGTTTGGCAATTCGCAGTTTGGTTGTCTGAAATACTTCAATTTGTTATGCTGACAAGCCTGTCCCGATAAATCGCCAAGAAAAAGGCCGCCATTCTTCTCTCTGTAATGGAAGATGCCATCGAGGCGTCCCATATTGGATTCGCGCACAGAACGTACTATGCCATGAATTCACAGCGCGGCCGCCATAATGTGGCAAGGAAATAGTGGACTCGTCCTGCGGACACGTCTTTCGACGCAGATCGCACATAATTCAACATTGCGCTACATGGATCAGCAAAAGCTGAGCTTGAATGCAAGGTTATCATTGTCGCACTGTATGTATCCACTTGGTTGTGAGTGATTGGTGTTCGGCCATGGCACAGTCAGCCGGGGCACATCCAGCCAGGACACTTCAGCCAGGACACATCAGCCGGGACACCGCCAGCCATGGCGAAGCCGGTGGGGACCCGGCCGCGCCGGCGAGCGGTCGGCCGTTTGCCGCCGGCTGGCCGAGTGACGGCCGGCGGAACACGACGCTTAGCGCCGTCGCACCGGCCGCCCGCGGCACCCCCGGCCGGATATTGGCAGCTGCCGGCAGAAGGCCGCCGCGGAGGCTAATTATCAGCCGGTGGCGCGCGTCAGTGCGCTGGCACAGTCGGCGTCATCCGCACGCGACTTGCCCGGCTGTTTTGGAGCTGCTGACGCGGCGCCAGCCACCCGTCCCATGCTGATGTGGAGCTGAAAGAGGTTGCGATCTCCTGCACCCGAAAGCCTTGGACTCCATGAAATGTGCTTTGCAGAGTACACCGACTCGTCACTTAACGCCTCCACTCTGTGGCGCGCGCAGCCATGTTCTTCAGCGCCTGCTTGATCGGAGCGGTTTCCAGTGCTACTCAAGATTAAACACAACTTCCCGAGCTTTTTCTCCCAGACAGGAGCCACTCCTTGTCAAAGTGACAGAGGAGGAAACATTTGGCAAACCGTCGGCGCCTCCGCCGGACACTGTATCAACAACAGAAGAGCCGTGGGCCAAAAGGCGCAGAGGGCTGTGGCGACCCGATACCAGCCATGCCCCCCTACGGTCCGCTCCCGCCGACTCACCATTGAGCACGTGTACGCGGCTGGTGGCCGGCCGGGCGTTGGACGGTTCGCACGTGTAGACGCCCGAGTCGGCCGGCCCGGCCCGGCGCACCAGCAGGTGGGACGTGGTCACTTCGCCCTGCTCCGTCACCACGCTGATGCCGCCGCGGGCAGAGTCGTACCTGATCACCTGCCGTGCGGAGGACCGGCTCAGTGGAGCGCACCCCGCCGCCGCTCCCGACAGGCGGGAACTGCCAGGTAAGGCAGCACTGGTCAGCCGTTGTTATTTTACCAGTATGGCTATCAGCACATTGTAGGTCAGAGGGTCTGGGGCACCCTATTGAGCGTAGCTTAATGATCATGCAACAAGGTTCTTAAAATGAGACTCTCCTTTCAGATCAGGATCTGACGGCACACGCACGTTCCTAAATTATACTTGTCTGCTTAACAATGCAAAGTTTGCTGTCCCAGATTCTTGCTCAACAGCTAAGATTTTCAACTCGAAATTCCTCCAACTTATTTTCTAAAATTCTGGTGTGTTGAATTTTTGCTTTTATTTGATTACATGTCAGTTTTGTACACCCCTATCAAAGCCTTATTGTTTCAGATGGGTTCACTCTGATTTCACCCATGTGTAGTCAAAGGATCTGTTTAGTAAACTCTGGTAAATTTGGTGAATCTGGCGAACTCTGGCCCTTCTGTGCCATTCCATGTAAAATCAGTCAAAACCAGGACCTTTATTGTTGGGTAACATTGATTTGAACATGCGCGCTAACAAATTTTCGCAACAACAGCCTTGACGCCCGGCGCTGCAGTCTCCGTAGGCCGCGCTACGTCGGCTTGCGGCTATGACGCTAAGCGATGGCCAATGGGCAAGATGACGCAGCTCGGGGACGATAGCTGGTTAACTAGGTCAATCGGCATGTATATTTAAGGTAGTACAAAAGTAAACTAAATGCTACCTAAATCTGAAAAGTGGGGACCAGTTAACATTGCTGCCCTCCAACCCCCCCCCCCCCCCGTTCCCACACCCATGGTTTCCTTTCACTTGGAAGAAGTAGGACTGTACTCCAGCCCATCCACTCTGGGAGCATAGTCTGTCAAATACGGGGATAATCCTACTGTTTAGCGTGCTTTCGCAATAGCTATGGCCTTTCCTCAGCTTGCTCTGGGGGCTGGGGGTGGGGTGGGGCTGCCAAACTAAAGCTCTGCTTGGTACCAGCGAAATGCTTGGGAACCAATAACGGGTGAATCTTACCCCAACTATCCCTCCTCCCAGTCGTGTCACTGCCCCTACAACCAAGTAACCTAGGAGATACGGGCCTGAAAACTAAGAGAGTCAGAACGAGCTGAGCTCTCCCCCATCTTTCTGAAAAAAAAATTATCTATGGCCCAGTGGGCGTTGACTGGAAACAATGGCCTAACAGGGCTGCCGTTGCAGCCCCCCCCCCCTCCCCCTCCAGTTTGGGAGAATTTACATAGTCGTTAACTCCACATATTATTTTCACGGGACTTCATTCATTCAGGTCACAAGGTAGTTGTAGTGCCCCAAGGAAGTGCTTACACGATTTCTGCCCCAAAGTTTTTCAGATGCTACCCCATGTTTGGTGGTGTACCTCAGTGCTGCCCCAACGCTATCTGAACAATATATGTCATATTTTATGGGCGGGCATGTGGACCGGGGAAAGAACTGTACGAAATGACTGCCAGACCGGAGTACTCATTTTGACCAATTGCAATGTGTTTGAGGCGATCCCCTCTGCGCACCACCGCAGATATCATGTTTAAGATCCAGAGCCACTGAAAGGCAGGGACCAACTGGTTATGCTTCAGCTCCAATGTCATTCTTCATGGTTTCAAGATTTGATCAGGTTGAACGAATTGTTGTATGTCAGGGTATTTTTTGGTTTGAAAATAAGAACCTTTTGGCTAAGAAAAACCTTTCCAAGTGTTGCGTACCTTTCAAAACTAAGCACACACAGAACATGGCTATCTGGCATTGAAATATCCATTACAGCCATCAACTTTTTCCAACCAATTCACAAAAGTAATATGAAATAGGTTCATGCCGCGATAAAAAGCACGCTCACCTTGCTGTCAATGTGTACTGATATGTTTGCCATTGTTAGTATATATCTAAAAAATTGTCTTTCTTATCCTGCTTTTTTTCTCGGTATACTATTGTCGATAAGCTTGGACCTTCCGAACCTAGAATTACATTCCTGGTAAAGGTCATCGTCCGTTATCTGGTCAACACCAAATCTGAATTGTCAAATCAGAATTGTATTGTTTGAATTGTCAACGTCTAATCTCATTGTACTGTCTGAATTGTCAACGTCAAATTTGATCGCACTGTCCACATTGTTTCGGCATTGATTATTGGCCTGGTCATTCAGGCTTTGGTACTGAAGGATGTGTTTACCTTTCAAAGCGTCGAATGGTCAACCTTGTGTACGTTCTTAAGGAGGAATACGGTTGAGTTTGTTCTGTTTGCATTTATGTAACAGCAAAACCATATAAGTAAAACTGTCGGAGATACAATTTAGGTCATGCTTTAACTTGCCGGGTTTTAAAACACGAAATGAAAGGAGATCCCTATGCTGAGATTTTCGCTATTGTCAAGTTTTGTCAAGTCTTGCCCGAAATTTGTAATCTATGTATATTGCCATCTATGGAGCGTTTTAGGAGGAAGTGGAAAACACCGACTCCAAATCTTAGGATTTGCCAGCTGCATTTCTTTGTTTGTGTCAGTTTTCCTAAGACTTCATTTAAGTTTCTTTCGGGTTTTAGATAAAAGTTAAAGGGAGTGTGTCTGGTCAAATTGGTGTTTTCCATTGTGTACGTAGGATTGAAGAGAATTTTGACGTAAATCGATAGGAATAGTTTGTTTCCGCAAATTCGCCTCCATTGACCAAATATTTCAAAATTGCACCAAGATTTTTTACCCGTAGCACAAAATTATCGGGCGATCCCAAAACGTTTTTTCAGCACTAATTAACCGCTCATTTCGCAAACGTATCGATAGAGGCGGCAAGTGATCTTCCGATAAGTGACTACGTCAGCACTGACAGCAAAGAGGCCAGAAAAGTATAGCATGGAGGCCAGAAAATAGTATGGCATCAATATCACCAAACCAAAATCACGTTACCTGCACGTTTTTTGACAGCGTTGCAGCCTTATTGACCTTTCTATCCATGTTCATATCTGTAGTGAAAAATAAACTCACATGAGCTTAGGAAACATTGATTCTGATCTTCATATTGATCTCAGATCGGACGGCACGCGGTGGCTAAAATCGATCAGCGATTGCTGAACTCCACGGCCTTAAAATATTCGGCATGGATTTTCTGTGAAGCTTAGCATTGCTGCAGTCAGGAGAAAATACAGATTCTGTTGAAAGGAGAGCAATCCTAATGTCCCACATACCTTGTGACAAGGCCAAAATTATCTTACAGACTGACGTAATGCTTATGCTTGGTACAAACTCACAAGGAGATACGCACCACAAGTCCATTTCCTCTGAATTCTCTACAAAGCCCCGTAACACTCGGAGAGTTAATTTGAACCCCACGTGTACTTCCAGGATAACTTCCGAACGGCACGTGGTAGTGATGCCAAACTTTGCATAGCCAGCAATTAAAATGCCGACCGTTTAATCATAAATATGCAGGTAAAACTTCTCAGGTCACTGAACTATGACAGGCCAAAGTCAAACCATGACTGTCAGCGAAGGCATTTCCTAGGGCACCGTTCAACCTGATATGACAACGGAGTGTTGGACGAAACCACACATAATTCAAATAGTCACTTAGACAGGTGAATTCAATGTTACTACTTATTCCAATGAACTTGAACATCATGGTTAGGCTGAGTATAAACTTTTTTTTTCTCTCTGGAGAAATTGCTGAGTTAGGTAGTTGTTGACGCTCGTTTCGAATTCCTTTATCATAGAAAGATCAACTGAACTCTTATAAAAGTCAGAGGAGATCAACGGCCTAAAATGATCCCGATCAGCGCTTTTGAGATAACAGTACCGCATTATCTAATTATAAATACTTGCGTAACTTAAAAACAACAGTCTCGTAGATTTTGGTGATCATGACCTTCTGAAGCTCAAAAAAGGTCACTGCTCTAAAAAGTACCAGTCACCTTGCCTTAGAGGGAATGACCCGACGGCCATGACCTAAGCACCTCAGAATTTCACACAAGGGGTTTACCAACAGATGTACCTACCCTGAAAACTGATGTCACCTACGATGTTTGATATCTGAGTGTGGTCAAATTGATCCCCCACCACCTCTCACCCCACCCGAATTTGTACTATTCAACCAGCCACCGGGCGCGTGTGCCTAGATAGTTGTGATCATTCCCGCTGCCGGAGCCCACGTTCAGCATGGCCGACCTCGCTAGCACTGCAGTGCAGCGACTAACACCCAGAATCCTGGCAAGCGAACAGGCTGACATTAGCCGGCACAGCGGCCGGTCCGTTGGAAGGCTCCGTATTGTGGTTCCTCGTCGTTATCAGCAACGAATGGCATGACCAAAGGCACCGGCATGGAGGTTTGAGGGGGAGGAGATTTCGAAAAGACACCAACTGCCGCCAGCGGCAGCCGGACCAGATGTACGATGTCACGTTTTCCATGACTCCATTATGACCCTTGAGCGTCGTCGTAAGTCCCCTAGACGTTTTTTTTTTCTTCGGAGTGTCGTGAGACAATCCAAATCGTCCTTTCAAGGGTAAAAATGACGCTTCAGAAAGTCCAGGGTCAAAGTATCTGATACAGGAACAGTACCTGATAAAATATTATCTAAATGAGCCGTTTCTGGACTCATTGTGACGCTTTTTAGAAGGCTGAAGCCGTGGGAAACTCACTGGATATTTTTTCTCAGTGCATGGCAGTAAAATGGTACTTGACCTTTAACACTTTTGACTTTGAAAGCGGTCGTAGCCTTTTATACTCCACATTTGGTCAGAATTCATTGTCCATGCATGGTTGGGTGGCTATGATCACTAAGTAATGTCATTTGTGGCAGCAATGATTAGCCTCACGCATTTGTTGCATACTATTTTCGTCATAACCTTCAAAATAGCACTCTGACCTTAATGTGAGCGTTTCATCTACAGACAAAGCTTTGGACTACGATAGAAAGACTATAAGTTCACAAGGAAATATTCATAGCCCTAACGCTAGTTAAGTCTGAAAGGGCCTAGTTCCCGAAGATTTGTGTCACGTTTATCAGGAATAATAGCAAATAGCAGCGACTGACTGACTCCATCCACCGATGATAAGGAATAAGATGAGGCCAGTTCCGGCTCTGACTTCAGTAATCACAACATTGTTTTGAGTATGCTGCGATAACGATTAAAGAAAATATGGCTTAACACGGAGTCGAATTCCCTTACGGTCCATTGTGGTTATACCTAACTTGGTTCAGAGGAGTCACGTATCAGAGCATGATATTCATTACGAGAGGCACCAACGTTTCTGACTGCAGTTGTCCAGTACTACAAACGCTTCGCAATAAATATCCTTGGCAGAAACGCGGAGGCATGAATCTGCGTAATAGCTGGTAATCATTGTGGCATTCGGGGCTTCAACTGCGTCGTGATAACAGCCCGCAGTCTGTTAAGGAGATGGAAAAAACTGCATGCCATCACTCATTGTCATTCACGAATTTTACTTTGTAGTTAACTTGCCTACCTCGTCCTCCCTGTTTTCCCTGCAGCCTATTGGGCGTTTTACCCCGTGTCTACCGCGCTCCAAGGGAGTGTCCCACTTTCGGAGCATATTTGAAAAAAAATACCCTAGCAGCCCTCAAGGCCAGTTGCCCTTAACAGCACTGGTAGTGCTGCTGCAACTCAATCAGGATGTAATGGGGATATCAATTATAAGTAATTCCGAATCCAAGTCACGCTGCCAACGTTTTGCCGCAGTACTACACTCCTGTCTTCCTTGGTATCCCCAAGCTGAAGCCGCAGACCGCGCCAGCCGCGGTTGCCGCGCCTGCCGTCGCCATGACACCTGCGGTCGTCAAGACGGCGGCAGAATTTGCTAAGGGCATTCGTTAGCTGTTGCAGACTAAAGGTACCACTTTTGAGTTGTTTTAACCCGCACATTGTGGGCCTGCGGGCTTAAAAGTGGCACCTCTGTTAGTACGAATGACGTCAGCTCAAATGACGTCTGTGATTGGCACAGGGCGCGGCGAAGGCCATTTGTTCAGAAGTGCATTGGTTGCAGTTTGAACCAGTGCGTCACTGTACACCATGTAATACTCAGTTTCCCAAAGCCACCATGAAGTTCTCAGCTGTCCGAACAGAAAGCTTGCATCGAAAAGTCACCATGATAAAGTGAAAGGGAAAAAATCGAAAAGCCATCATGTAACATTTCGTTGAACTCGCGTAATAATAGTCTCATGTTTGCATATCTTTTCCGTAAAAAGTGTTTCAAACTTTTGCAGCATCTATTTAACAAGTATTTTGGTGAATTAGTGTATTGTTTAACGTTACAGAGCACACACGTTGAAAAAGCAAAGCAAATTTAAAGTATTACTTTCATGGTCGTAAGCAGTAGACCCAAAAATATTTCTCCCGCCGGAAATGATATTTCAGATGAAATTCTGAGCTATTCAGGAATTCGAGAAAACTGTCATTACCCACTCCATTGGAAGCTCCTGATCTAACAAAGCGTGAAAAGTACACAAAAACATGGCATGCTTCCTTAAATCTTCATGTAGTCCTATGCCCTGCCCTGTATCTTTACATTTCCTATCCCATTGTCGTTCCAAGAAATCATGTTTACCGTTGATCGTAACAAGTACCAGAAAAGTTGAAATATTTACGGATGCACTCAAACCACAGTGCGATACAGTACAGCCAGCCAGAACACGAAGCACTTGTCTCGACGAAATCTTGGTTGATTACCGAGTAACTCAATGCCAAATAGAGCATATTCTGAGCGAAAGAACAGTACCGTGTCGTCACGTCTAATGGTTGTTTTTACCATGCTCACAAAAGCACTCCCTGAAACGCATTCAGAGTACCTCAGGTATTAGTGCAGCCAGGGGGGGGGGGAGGAGAAAGGCTAATGCAACTTTAACACCCCCCTTCGTCAATCTCAGAGCGCAATTTTTCACCACGATACTGCTAAATATGATTTCGAACTAAATATTATTTCGAAATCTGGTGATCAGGGGCACTTTTTTGGTTTTAAACCTCATAGGCACTCCCATGGGCTGCGATGTCCAGTGCCCAATAGCCGCAATTTAGTAGAAATACTAGCGGATATCCGATTACACATGCACGGTACACAACGGAAACAGTTGTTCAAGGCATCATGCAAACCGACATCGATAGCTCCTCGATGCACTGGGTGCCACAACTATTAGCGTTTGCAGGGTGTGTTTGTCTGTCCGCGGTGTGTCGATACTGCCAACGGGGCTGAGACTCGCTCGTCGATATATAAAGCCCCTGTCGAAAATCATGGTAGCCGCTCTTGTCGCACGTGGTGGCTGCATCCCTGACCGTAAGAAAACCGGTGCGGAAACGTCTACTAAGAGCTGACGCAGCAGTGAAATGCACCAAGGCTCCACTGAATTATGCAGAAGACGTGCGCCGCTGGCTCGGAGGGACTGTGCGGAAAGGAAACACATGCGTGCAAACTAAAAAAACACGGATGTTAGCAAACGGACAACATTGCTGCTGTTTCGCCCTTGGGACCCAGAGAATGATGGGAATAGCACGGCTACGTATAATCCGCAGTAAATCAGTGCGCCGATAGAGCCCAGGGCTGTTATCCGTCAGATGGCGACAACTTCCCGTTCGTCTCCACTGTTTCATTAGCCACGCAAGCCCGACCACGGAACATGCATGCCGGCACAGCAGCTGACCGTCCTCAGGCGGCAGCTCAGACCGGCGGCCACGCCCCGCTCCCGGCGGCGGCGGCGGCGGCGGCAGACGGCCGGGCCGACTTTGTCGCGTGGGAACGCGCTGGCGTCGCCGGCCCGCCCGAGCCGAGCCGAGCCGAGCCGCCGGCGCCGGCGAGCGCGCGGAAAATGCCCGCTGGCTGCCACCCGGACGGCGGGCGGATTTCGCAGCAAGAAGCGGCTCTCAGGCGCGAGTGGCGGTAAAAGTGGCGAAGAGCCCGGCGCGGCGACACGAGGCTGTGGTTTTGGTGCCGGGGCGCCACCGGGACGACGCGTAACCGCCGACCTCAGCCTTTGAGGGCGCCGCCACCTGCGCTGGACAGCGCTGTCTGGGCGTGTTGCGGACGGCGCTTTGCGCTGCGAATTGACTATAAATCAGCCACGTGGAGGGTCGGCAGCCGTGCGATTGATGCATATATCTTGACACTTTGGTGCTGGAACATGCAGTGACAGCTGAAATGACCGGTCCTTCGTCACATTAATGTCGGCGCGCCCCCAAAATCAATAGCAGATCAACTCATATGAAATGCAATACACTCAAAGAATCAGATGGATTATGTATTAAGGGCACAGGAGCCATCTAAAAGTTTGGTCGTCAGTGGAATAAAAGCCCATCGGCGGAAGGTAGACTGATTGATGCGTTTACATTTGTGAACGTTGGCAGGTAGCGCCAAAGTGCTTTATGATCATCTCAGGAGGTTTGCGGTTCGAGATAACTCACAACCCGGAAAGTGAAGGAGCTGGGGGTGTGTGGGGAAGGGGAGGGGGGACAGCGCTAGCGCCTTCATCTGAATTCCCGCACGTTCATGTGTTTTAGGAATCGATGCTGCTTCCGTGCAAGCGTTGACCCAACATTTAAATGCAAGCTATATGACTGAAAAAGGTGCATGCCTCACAAACTCTTCGAAGTCAGTTGCAATATGGACTATAGGGGATACTTCAACATTGATGCATTTAACCTCACTTTCTTTTTACTTCAATATGGGTCGATCTGTGTTGGAACTGCCTAAATAGGTGAAAACTTGGGCCAGTCGTAGTCAAAAGAATCTTTCAACTCAGCAACACTCACCGCCAAGGAGCTAAATAGTTTTCCAACGCTTTCGAGTAATATTCCACGAGATACGGACCATTCACCAGTCCATGAGCAGTTTTCTCAGACATTCATATAGCAAAACTGGCTTTGCGCAGCCGACACGCCTCAGCGCCGCATTGCCAGCTCTGTCGCGCGAAAATGAGCCTGCAAACATGAATTGAGACACAAGATTCCAAAACTTTTCTGCATCATCACGGCGCTGCCTGATCTATACACGACGCCAGTCTATGAAGATCGGAACAAGGGCCCTTACGTTGCGTTTGAAGCGTCCCTGCGCGCGTAAACTCAGTGCACCATGTAATTGGTCGCTCCCGCCCCGTCCCAAGCGGTCAGGGTTGAACGAGGCCAGCCTGCATACATATGCATGGCTTGCATGACTGGGTCAGATGTGACGCACTCTGTGACCCACCTGTTCCTCGTGGTACCAGAATATGAACTCTGGCGGCTGTGGGGAGTTGGTGACCACGCAGGTCAGGTTCAGCACACTGCCGTGGTCGACGAACATGTCCGGAGGCCCCAGTATGCTGGCCTCAGGCACTGAAAGCCGCCGGCACAGCCCGGTCACACAAGACGGGACGAGACGTCCATAGGCACAGTGTGGTTTCAACAAAACGCCTGAGGATGAGGACCCACACACAGCCCGCTGTGGCAAAAGTTCCACAGTCCACGGTGGCAATACGCTCCACAATCTTACAGTGGATGTCAGTACGCCCACAATCCCTCCAGCGACGCCCACGCCGGCACGTCGGCTTCCATTACACAGATCGCCCGCGACGCGGCTCCGACCGGCGGAACCCAACTGTCCAGCGCACAATGGGTCCGCGGGGAACGAAGACGCATCGCAGGCCGCGAGCCGCGCCGTCGGCCCCGTATCAAACGTCGATTATGCGTGCGCGGGCGCGGCCGGTCCGCCGGGGTCGGCGCAGAAAGATGGAGCGGGTGAGGGACTCGCGGGTCTGACGTTTGGGGCGCCTGGCGGGCGCGACCCGCGCCGTCTCCCCCGCAGCGCGGGTGCTAGTGCTCACCCACGACCTTCAGGTACACGGAGTACGAGATGAGCGGCTGCGTGGAGATCTGACACTCGTACAGCCCCGTGTCGGCCTTTTGTGCGAACTTGATCATGAGCGTCCAGTCGTTGCGCGCCGCGTCGCGGGCCACGTGGAAGCGGGCGTCGTTGGTGTAGGTGTCGGTGCCTGTGGTGAGGATGTGTAGGTCCCGGCTCCGGATCCACGACACCTGCCGACGAGGTGCGTGTGTCAGCGGGGCGGACAGGTGTCGTGTCGCCTCGCAGCCGCGCGCGCTGCGACTTGCTGTGTCCGACTGCACGCTGCTGCGCCTGCTGAGTGACAGCAGCGCGCCATACGACCTGCTGCACCTGGGGGACGCGACAATGAACAAGCTGCGCCTCGGCAGCACAACACCCGCCATACGTTCCAGTTACTGGATAACAACAACAGGGAGCGCACCGCAAAACGTAGTTTAGAACGGCAATGCTTTGATGTGGCTTCCGTATGGAAACATATAGTACAACACGCATACACACACGTTCGCTCGCTCGCTCGCTCACTAACACGCACGCACGTATGCACGCACGCACGCACGCACGTACGCACGCACGCACGTCTATTCGCATTATTTCCGTTTGTGGGCACACGTATGTTGAACACTGTAGGCACACGACCAGAATGGTCTATTATGAGCATCGACCCGCTCGCTACGTACTTCCCTAAGTCTTTTCTTCGTGTCTGATGAACAATAAATAAGGGCATACAAACAGACAACAAAATCCTGTCATCCGAGCGCTTAGCTTCCTTCGTGAAAAAACCTGAAACTCGACTAAAACTATCGGTGTGAATTAGCTGCAATGACTAGAACTAATGTTTTTATTGAAAAACAATGAAAGACCGTAAAGTGCCACTTGGCACCAGACTTGTGTTGATTCATTTTTTAACAAGATTGGGACCGACTCATAGACTTTGTGATCGGATTCAGCCCATGACTCATTCTGTTCCAAAATGTTCGATTCAGTTTAGTTCAGGTTTTTTACTTGCATCGGGTCATTTGACTTCTGACTCACGTAGCTTGCAAATCAAAGCCCTGATGAAGTTCTGGCTTGTTGCCTTATGACTCGTGGGCGGTATGACTCATTGATATATATATATATATATATATATATATATATATATATATACATATATATATATATATATATATATATATATATATATAACATGGTATGGAAAAATAGACACTTATATCCTAGTGGCAAGTTTGCAGCGTGAACCTAGCAAATGCAGTGCATCGAATTGTACCTTTCATGTAACCTGTTACCAACCTGCACTCTCACGTCTCAGCTCTAGAATAGCATGGTCTAACTGGCACGTACGACCCAGACCCATTAATTATAAGGCATGCAATGTGGACTAGACTGCACAAAACCTGATAGTTGGCTGTCCTCACCCGCCAATTGACAGCCAAGTGCAGTTGCATGCCATTCGTATTGAAATTGATGGTATGCCAGGAATTCAACATAGGATTGCAGCCCTTGCAATTGCCGTTAGCTAGCATAAGTTACTAACATTTATGAACGTACCCCTCTTCAACAATAAGCATTGCGAATTACAATTACGTTTCTCACAAACAAGCCCATCACAGATCCATTCTACTCGACCCCCGCCTTCCAGTCAGCAAGGAACTGAACTGACCTAAACTGAATTGAACCTCTGAGTTTGAGATCAGGTAACGCAGGCGCCGACTGTCGTTTCCGTCAGGATACCTTAAACTCATCTCATCAGGTCACTCTACGATGAGTTAAGGGCCAAATCAGGTTTCCGAGCTGTGCAGAGGTTAGAGTACTATGTACCAATCGCATTCCAAGGCTACTAAATTTGGAGGACAAATTCTCAATTGCAAGTTCCGTGGTGCGTAGAAATAGTTATTGATGCAGGCCCTGGGAGGTCACATACGACATACAATCCGCGTTTGAGACGAGACGACCTTGCCACTATTGCTGTTTTTCATATAGCCTCAGCAAAAGCATGCTTCCAGCCATTCAAGCAGTGGTGAATGAGGGGCCAGGCATGGCTTAGTTTATTGTTGTAACAACTGACAAAGAACAATGCGACCCCACCTTGGATAATATAGGTAGCGGACAATGTTTTACTTATTTTTAGCGTAGAATATATAAATAAAGGATGTATGTACTATGTGATATCCTCTAGTTCCTGGCCGAAATTTGCCAAACTTAGGTTCAGAATTAACAATGCTCTGTTTGACGCTTAGAAATTGCAATAGCAAATTTTGTGCTGATTTTGAAAAGGGCTTTATAACTTGTGCTGGCGCTGGCCATTCTAACACTGAAATGGCCCGCTAATTTGTTTGGGGAATTCTGTGCTTCCTCGCATTGTCATTTTTGTTTTAACCATGTGACTCACTGACAAAACATTGTTAGAAATGATCGGCTCACAATTCTGTTCATGAAATTTAGGAAGAATGTGATTCAGCTCATGACTCAAAAGCGGTATTTTCCTAGTGAGCCCACCCAGCTCACAACTCACCTCAAAACGACTGACTGAGGGCTTAATTTATGACTCAGCTCGAGACGTATAAAAACCTGTTTGTCATAACTGGCAATGCTTCCGCCGATGACCCTGTGCCAACAGCGCACCGTACACCGTTGGACAAATTTGGCGCAAGAGATGACGCAGCCACGTGCCGAATATCAGCATTGTGGCGGAATATCTGTTCCACGCCCGGCCCACCACGATGGTCCGACTGCCCATAGCCCTTACTGTTTTGTTGTTGAGCCGCTTCACTTTGCAGTGCAGATGAGCCGTCTTGCCCTGAAGTGCCGTCACGTTTCTGGGAGTTGTTGTATCAAAGAACGGCGACTCGAAGGTATGGCGAATCCAGGCTTGCTCTGAAAGCGGATCAAGCGTGTCTCAGACCCGGTAGACACAAAACAAAGTGAATCGAAGAGCTCTTGGCACGGCGCCAAAAGATAGAGCTGTTGCGAATAGAGCTTAAGATGTGCGCGGTTAATGAAGCAGAATGACAGCAGAACATCATTCGAAGCACAATGGTTTGGATAATGGTAAGCATGAACTGACTTCAAAAGTGCTGTATGACGTGTAGACGTCACAGACTAGCTCTCGCGAGACCCATATGTAACATCACAAGTCACGGACGGAATGGTCACACCTCCGACAGCATGGGGATAATGCGTTGTTGCAGGTACGCTTAGTTGTTTGCAACATCCACTCCATTACTGCCCCGCACACTGTTTTAATGGGAGATCGCTCCGCTGGGGGCGTAATGGCCGAGTGGGTGTTGCCTTCGGCTCCCATGTGGGGGGGGGGGGGGGGGCCTGGTCCCCGTTGGCCCATGGCTGCTGGGCGCCAATATGGTCACTGCAGTCGCTGAAGTTCCATACAAAGGTTCGTGACGACGCGCAACGCGTTCCCTATGACAAATACTGATCGCCATGTTGTTACTTAACATGTTGTAAGACCGCACAATAATGCGAGGGAGCTTTGTTGTGTGTGTAGCGACACAGACCTTGTCTGTGTCGAATATTTCCAAGAAAAATATTCGGGCCGGGAGAAAGGTAACCAAAAGGTGATCATGGAACATTCCTGAAGGTAATGTGACATGCCAAATCAATTGCAAAGTTGCCAGCTAGCATCTACTACTTAGACACTCACAAAGGCTACGAAGTGTACAACCAGAAGTAATTAGAAAGTGGACACCATTCTCAAATCGTCTTGTAACTCCATCAACGGACACGTGGCGTGCAAGTGCTCGCATGTTGAAGACCGGGGCCTCAAAACCGCCACCTTCCGCGGCAGTGAAACCCATCCTGGCCTCGTACCGTCACCACCAGTTGCGGTCTAGCCCGACATCGGCCATCACCACAGAGTCACCTCCTCAGAGCAAGAGCTCCACAGCAGGCGACGCCCCCGGCACCGGAGGCCCGGGGCCGGCCGACGCCGGTATGTGGGGGCGGCGTTGATTTCCCACCGGGCCGGGCTCGGTACACGGGTCACGCGCCGTGATTTCATCAGCTCCCGGCAGACGGCTCATGGCTCACTGACCGCCGCACTGGAGCCAGGTATGCCGACTGGAAATGGCAGCTGATCATGCGCCATGGGGCTGCGTTTAACCGTGTGGTGTCGGGCAGCCACCGCGGAGTGCCAACAGCTGATGATGTCTGATCACGTCTGCTGCTCCCAGGTCAGGCCACCGAAGCAGTCAGATGATCACGTCTGCTGCTCCCAGGTCAGGCCACCGAAGCAGTCAGATGACCACGTCTGCTGCTCCCAGGTCAGGCCACCGAAGCAGTCAGATGATCACGTCTGCTGTTCCCAGGCTAGGCCACCGAAGCAGTCAGATGATCACGTCTGCTGCTCCCAGGTCAGGCCACCGAAGCAGTCAGATGACCACGTCTGCTGCTCCCAGGTCAGGCCACCGAAGCAGTCAGATGACCACGTCTGCTGCTCCCAGGTCAGGCCACCGAAGCAGTCAAGTGATCACGTCTGCCTGCTCCCAGGTCAGGCCACCAGAAGCAGTCAAGTGATCACGTCTGCTGCTCCCAGGTCAGGCCACCGAAGCAGTCAGATGATCACGTCTGCTGCTCCCAGGTCAGGCTACCGACCCGTCAGATGATCACGTCTGCTGCTCCCAGGTCAGGCCACCGAAGCAGTCGGATGATCACGTCTGCTGCTCCTAGGTCAGGCCACCGAACCCGTCAGATGATCACGTCTGCTGCTCCCAGGTCATACCACCGAAGCAGTCAGATGATCACGTCTGCTGCTCCCAGGTCAGGCTACCGAAGCAGTCAGATGATCACGTCTGCTGCTCCCAGGTCGGAGGCACCGAAAGTTGTTACTTGATGGCGTCTTACATTCCCAGGTCAGGTCAGGTCAGCGACCCCATCAGCTGATGACGCCTCTCGTTTCCTGGCTAAATCACCGAGCACCGTCCGATGATTACAGCTTCTACGCTCA